GAAAAATAAATAAAAAAAGACTGGTCTGGCCAAGAACTGGAGAGGTAGGTTCCTTCCTTCCTTCCTTCCTTCCTTCCTTCCTTCCTTCCTTCCTTCCTTCCTTCCTTCCCTCCCTCCCTCCATCCCTCCCCTCCTCCTCCTCCTCCTCCTCCTCCTCTCTCTCTCTCTCTCTTTCTTTCTTTTTGTTTAAGATGGAGTCCTGCTTTGTCACCCAGGCTGGAGTGCAATGGCATGATCTCGGCTTACTGTAACCTCTGCCTCCCAGGTTTAAGTGATTCTCCTGACTCAGCCTCCCGAATAGCTGGGATTACAGGCTCATGCTACCATGCTTGGCTAATTTTTGTATTTTTAGTAGAGGCAGGGTTTCACCATGTTGGCCAGGCTGGTCTCGAACTTCTGAGCTCAGGTGATCTGCCTGCCTCAGCCTCCCAAAGTGCTGGGATTATAAGTGTGAGCCACCGCACCTGGCCGGGAACTGGAGATTTCTGGTTAAATCACCCCACCAAGACCACGGAGTTCTTTCTTCACACTTACTGGTTTTGCAGGAGCCAACCAGCCAAATTTAAGGGGTTTCCTGGAGACTAAGCGGACAGCAGCTAGTTCCTGGAATTGACAAGCCCTGTGCTGGGCCTGACATCTCCCAGTGATTGCTAACATGTATTGGGAGCATACTGCATCTACTCATCACAGCAGCCTCAGAAAAGAGATGTTCTTCTTCACCATTCAGATTAAGAACCCAGAGGGGATTGGGGAGCCCACATCAGAGTTCTTCGTGGGAGCAACATGCAGAAATCTCTCAAAAACGCCGGGCGCGGTGGCTCATGCCTGTAATCCCAGCACTTCGGGAGACTAAGGCGTGCAGATCACAAGGTCAGGAGTTCAAGACCAGCCTGGCCAACATGGTGAAACCCTGTCTCTATTAAAAATACAAAAAACATTAGCCAAGCATGATGGTGGGCACCTGTAGTCCCAGCTGCTCAGGAGGCTTAGGCAGGAGAATAGCTTGAACTCGGGAGGCGGAAGTTGCAGTGAGCCGATATTGCACCACTGCCTTCTAGCCTGGGTAACAGAACGAGACTCTGTCTCATAAATAAATAAATAAATACATCTCTTAAAAAGATCCTCAAGGGTGAAGTTGCTTCTGGTCAAGTCTCCCTCATGGCACAGAGTCGTCTGATTTCTCTGGTCATTTGGTTCAGGTCTGTCTCCCCTGCTGGGGCTGTTTTCCATTTATCCACACTGTGGCACAGGGCTTGGCATCCTGCAAGCACTCAATAAATTTTTTTTTTTTTTTGAGACAGAGTCTCACTCTGTTGCCCAGGCTGGAGTGCAGTGGTGCGATCTCAGCTCACTGCAACCTCTGCCTCCCGGGTTCAAGCGATTCTCCTGCGTCAGCCTCCGGAGAAGTTGGGACTATAGGTGCACACCACCACACCTGGCTAATATATATTTTTTTATTTTTAGTAGAGACAGGGTTTCACCATGTTGGCTGGGCTGGTCTTGAACTCTTGACCCCAGGTGATCCACCGGCCTCAGCCTCCCAAAGTGTTGGGATTACAGGCGTGAGCCAATAAACATTTTTAAAATATTATTATTATTATTTTTGCTCGGTCCCCCATGCTGGAGTTCAGTGACACTATCTCGGCTCACTGCAACCTCTGCCTCCTGAGTTCAAGCGATTCTCCTGCCTCAGCCTCCTGAGTAGCTGGGATTATAAGCACGTGCCACCATGCCCGGCTAATTTTTGTATTTTTAGTAGGGATGGGGTTTCACCATGTTGGCCAGACTGGTCTCAAACTCCTGACCTAAACTGATCCTCCCGCCTCAGTCTCCCAAAATGTTGGGATTACAGGCGTGAGCCACCACACCCGGCCAATTTTAAAAAATATAATAGAGATGAGGCGGGAGGTGGGGGTCTCACTATGTTGCCCAGGCTGGTCTCCAACTCCTGGCCTCCAGGGATCCTCCCACTTCGGCCTCCCAAAGTGCTGGGCTTACAGGTATGAGCCACCGCGCCTGGCCGATAAACATTTTTGCTAACAGATTTAAACTAGCGTCTCCTGTACCTTTTTTCTCCACGCCTCGGCCCTCCCCCCCCCCCCCCCCCCCCGCCCCACCGGGCTGCAACTCTGCCTGCCTGAGTTCGGATGCGGTCAGCTGCAGGGCAGCGCTCCGGGCTGAAGCACAGCGATTCCCGCCGCCGGGAGAGGGCGCTCTGTGGGCCTCGGCCTCGGCCCTTCCGGACGCCCGCGCAGGTCGCCGGACCCAGAGAGTCGGCCCTTAATAGCCCCCTCCTGGAAGCGCTAGGTCCCGAAGCTGGCCTTCCCCCGGGGCCCATCTCCCGGCTAATGTTTAACCCGGCCACACTCCACAATATCCACACTCAGGAGACCGGGGTGGGGTGAGGGTGGGGGCTGGAGGAAGCCACCTCCAAATCGCCAACTTCCGAGCCTTTGCTCCAGGAAAACGGCCTTCCCACATCCCTTCCAGGTTTCAACCTACAGCTCCTGAGCACCTACTATGTGCCCATTCCCACAATAGGTCATGAGCCCTAATACGTGTCCATTAGACCAAAACATGAGCATCCATTATGAATCCACACCTACTATGTGTGCATTCACTCACAACGTCCTGAGCACCTACTATGTGTGCATTCTCTTAAAATACAATGAGAATCGATTGTGTGTCCACATAACCTATGAGCACCTACTATGTGTCCATCTGGGCACCAGGCCATGAGCGCCTACTATGTGCCAAGCCTTTTGCCTGCCACGATGCCTTGTGATCAAGAGCCATGTGCTTCGGGCTCTGGCGGGGACCGCGCCATCAAATGCACCAATGAAGACGGAATTAAAACCGGCGTCAGATGCCTCACCTCTAGGGGATGCTGATTCTGAGGTGCCTTTTTCCGTCTCCTAGACTCCTCAAGGCCAACTCCGCTGGGGAGAGGGGGTGTCCAACAGCAGGAGGGCTGTTTTTTTGAACTACGATTTGCCAGCATACAGCCAGAGCAGCAAGAAGATAACAGGGCGGGGGGCACAGGAGTAGCCCAAATAAAACATACTCGAGAACGCGAGTCTGTGGTTAAACAAGAGGCAGAAAACAGCTGGGCCGGGTGCGGGGCTTCTCCCTCGCGTGTATCCGCTCACTGCACTCGCTGCCCTGGCCGCGGGCGCCACGCAGGGTGCTGATGTCCAGGAGGGATCTAGACCTCCCGCGGCGCTCGGGCTCGGGGACGCAGGTGGTCCCAAATGTTGGGACGAAGCTAGGAACCAAGCGGAAGTCCGGATTGCTCGGCATCGGGCCTCGTCCTTATTCTACCGTGAGGGAAACTGAGACCGAGGGCAAGGCAGGGAGTCGCCCGCCGTCTGACCAGCGTGAGGGGCTGCGCCGGGCCCCGAACCCTGGTTTGCGCCGCACGGCATCGGGATCCGGGGCCTCTGCCCGCCGGGCGCTGCCTGCGCGTTCCTGGAACTGGGCTGGGCGGAGAAATCAGGGCCCGCAGAGAGGCATTCCTGCCGCCTTCTCCGCCGCCCAGGGCCGCAGGGGGGCCTGGCCAAGGTGACCCCGCAGGAGGAGGCGAGGGGTCCCCGCCTGCTCCGCCGCCGCGACCTCCTCCATCTTCCCGGTCTTCGGGGCTTTTCCTCTGGGCCCGCGCGCCTGGCCCCCTCCCCGGGCTTCCCCGAGGGCGGGACATCTTAGGCTCCCCCGCCCCCCAGGCCAGCTCCCGGCCGTGTCCTAGCGCTGCCCTCGGGCCGGGGGCGGGGCCGCGGGGGGGTGCGTGAGGATGCGGCCGAGGAGGACGCGCGCGGCTCGGCGGCGGCTCGGCGCCCCCCTTCCCTCCCTCGCCCCTCCCTCCCGGTGCCCGCTCCCCGCGGCCGCGCCGCCCTCCCTTCCCCCTCCCTCGGCCCAGCGCCGGCTCCCGCCGCCCCCTCCCCCGACGCGCACGCTCCGCCTGGCAGCTGGCGCCCCGGGCCTGGGGCCGCAGCGGTGAGAGGGGTTTTGCTGGGAGGGCGGGAGCGAGCGAGCGAGCGAGGGGAGGGGTGGAGGCCGCCCCCCGCGCCCCTCCTCCTCGCCCTCCTCCGCGGCCGCCGGGCCCTCCTCCCGCCGCCTCCCTCCTCCCTCCTCCCGCCCGTCCGCCCTCCCTCTAAGACATCCCCGCACGGCCGGGCCGCCGCGGCCACCTTCCCTGCCCGAGCTGCAGATGTGGCGGAGCGGCCGGGCGCCGGGCGGCCGTGCCAGGGGAGCCCGCGCCCCGTGAGCCTCGCGCCCCGGCCCCCGCCCGCCCCGGCCCCTCCCCTGCTCGGCTCCCCGCGCCCCTCGACCGCCGGAGCCCGCAGCCCGGAGCCCGACCGCCCCCGCCGCCGAGGTAGGAAGCCCCCTGGGCGTCGCGCCCTGGGGACCGGGCCGGGGCGGGGGTGAGGGCGCGCCTGTCGCGCCGGGGCTGCGGGGCCCGAGGGTCGCCTCCCCCGCTCGCGTCCGCGCCCCGGGCCATTGTGAGCCCTCGCCGAGGCCCCCGCGTTCGCTCGCTCGCTGGCTCGCGCGCTCCCTCCCTCGCCGGCTCCCCGGCCGGGTCCCTCGAGCTCTCGGTCTTTCTTCTCCCTCCTTCCCTCCCTCCGTCTGGAGGCCGGGCTGAGCAGCGGCCGGGCCCGGGGCGGGCGCAAACTTCAGCTGGGAAGTTGGGCGGTCGCGGTGGTGGGCGTGCGGCGAGGTGAGAGGGGGGCACCCGGAGCCTGGGCATGAAGTTGTCCGGGGCAGCCGCCCCTCCTCTCGGCTGCGCCAGGGCTGCTTCTAGGAAGGGCTTTGGAAGGTGCCTCTTCCCTTGGCCAGGAAAGTCTCCCTCCTGCTGCCCCTCGCAAGCCCGGGTCCTTCCTTGGACCTCCGGAAGGGGCGTCCCTGGGGGGTCAGGACTGGGGGTTGGGGACAAGTCCGGCACTTGTTTCTCCCCTGCCGTCAGGGTGGACGCAGGCAAGGGGCCTGGCAGGGAGGAGATGGCAGGGGGGTCCACACTCGCCGGCGGGCGGGTCTGGAGCGGGTGGAGGAGGGGGTGAGGCAGGTGCATCCCGAGGGAGGAGAAGCACGCAAGGCTTCCCCGCTGGCCCCCTGGGATGGGGCTGGAATCCAGGCTGGCACCTGGAGGCCTTGGCATGCTGCCCTGCCCAGCAGGGTACTCGGGCCACAGCAGGGCAGCGTGCAGCCTGTCTGCCTGTCCAGGAGGGCCCGCCCAGCCTGGCCAGAGGGTGGCCGGGAAGCAATGGTTTCAAGGAGTTGCCCAGCCCTGCCCTGGGGCCTGGGAAGCTGGAAGGGATGCTGGGAGGGGCCCTGGGCCCCCAGCCATCACAGCCCAGGATCTTGGCTCTGGAGGGAACGCTTGACACTGAAGGGGCAGCCAGGCCGGCTGGGGACCTGGCCAAGGCCTGGGCTTGGTCTGGGCCATGGTTCTCGGAGGCTGGCACCCTGGGTAGTAGGCCGCCATCCTGCGTGTCCTGGCATCCTGGAGGGAAGGTGGGGCCAGCCTGTGGCTGGGGAGGAAGCCCAGAGACACTGTGCTTGGGAGGGCCTTCCAGCCCCCAGGCTCAGGGGAGGGGAAACTGGCCCCTTGGGTCACCCCTCCCCAAGCCCCTTTCTGGTGCCACAGGGCCACAGCTGTCCAGACCCAGCCCACACACCCCTCCCGGGTGACCTCGGACCTCCCCCTCTGCTTCTCCTTCTCCCCAGAGCCCAGGCTGGGCCTCCTAGCTGGCCTGGCCTGCACAGGGGGAGGGCTGTACCTGGGAGGCCCCTACCGGGACGCCCCTTGCCAAGCTCCAGCCTGGCCCATTTTACCACCCACCTCCAACTCAGCTTGGCCCTGTCTGCAGCCAGCCAAGCAGGAGACAGTGCCAGGGACTTGGGACGGTGTTTTGCGGGTTGTGCGGACCCCTCAGAAGGAACCCTGTCTTTCTTAACCTTTTCTCCTCCCCCTCCTTTCCGGAGCTGCCATTAGTGCTGACCCCCTGACCCCCTGTGCCTGCCCGCCCTTCCCTGTCTGTGACCTTTGACCTTTGGTGTTAAATCCCTCCAGCTGGGGCTCTTCGGCCCCTGAGTGACCCTGGCCCAGGCCCCCTGGGGAGTTCTCTCCTTGCTCCTGGCTCTCTACACAGGGACACCTGCCAGTCCCTCCCTCACCAATGGGGAGGGGGTGCCCTGGGAAGCCAGACAGTGAGTCACCCCACTTCCAGGCACCGCTGCTTTTGGGGTCAGTGGCTTCTGGAGCTTGGCTGGAGCCCGGTCACAGCCTGGAGGGTGACCGGGGAAAGCCCCTGGCCTGGGAGTCTCCTGCCCTGGGTTCAACAGTCTTGGCTCGACCACCAACTTCCAGTGGGCCTTGGGTCAGGCTCTTCCCCTCTCCCGGCCTCGTCTGTGAAACCAAGGGGTCAGACCAGGTGAGCTCCCGGAGTCCATGGGAAGCCTGGGTGGAGGGGGGTCAGGGGGAGGGAGAGGGTGTAAGTCCAACAAAAGCCAACTCTCAATTATCCGAGGGTGGAGCCCCGATGAATAACTGGATGCCACAGACATCCCAAAACCTCATCGCAAACAATCGTGTGAACCGCGTCCCCCCAAAGCTTTTGTTTCTGAGAAACCCAGCTGCGACTGGGTAGCCACAGCGATTTCTTCCCCCGCCTGGGCTCCACTCGCAGGGGGGACAAGTAGAGGGCTGAGAGTGAACAGGCCAGGCAGGGAAGACAAAGGTCTCCCAGGGCCCCTTCTCGGGGCCTGGAGGGAGGCCTGGACCCCATTTCCAAGGCCCCCACTCTCTCCTCCACCCTCCTTCCCGGCCTGGCCTTGGCCCTGGGCGGTGGGAGTGTCTCTCCTCACCACCTAATCCTCTCAGGGTCTGGGCAGCCGGATAGGAGGAAGAATGTGTTTTCCCGGCCACAATTTCCCATGTGTATTTCTAGCCACCCGCTCCGCTTGCCTGGAATCTGAATTCCCCACCTGGACCAGGGGGTGAGGGCCAGTGCCGGCCGGGGTTTGGGGCAATCTCTGGGTGAGGGAGGGTGGCGACAGCTGTGACTGGGGGCCCAGATGTAGAGCTCTTCGGGGGGCATCTGGGGTGGGGCTCCCGGGGAGGCAGTGCTGGGGGTCGCCTGGCCTGCCCTCCAGCCCCAGAGGCTGCCTCTGAAGGTCCCTGCCTCTCAGCGGGGAGGCCCAGGAGGCTCCGGCACCCAAGGAGGAAATTGATTCCATGGGAGAGGCCCTGTACTGGGTGGAATTGGGGTGGGGGCGGCTGCAGAGAAAAGTGTCCCCTGAATCCTTTCCTCTCTTCAAGGCTATAATTGTTACTTTATTTCACAGCAGGTGACAGGCCAGAGGGGAACCCCAGAAGATCCTGGGTGGTCTTCCCCTCACCCAGATAAATGCTCTTCCCAGGGGTCGGGGGCATCCTGGGCTTGGCGGGTTTGTGTATTGAGCAGTAAGAGACCCTCTCCCCACTGGCTAGGGCATCTCTGGGACTAGCCAGAAAGATGCTCTCCACCCTCTGCCTAAGTTGCCTCCTTTCCCAGGGGCTGTGAAAGGGTCCACAAAGATGGGTTGAGGCCCTGATGTGGATGTGTGTCTGGGGGTTCACGTCCCTGGGAACGCGTGCCCTGCCCCAGCCTGTTGCCATCCCTGGGTGTGGGGACCACAGCCCTAGCGAGTCTCCCGGGACACATCTGCCTCTCCGTGGTTTCTGAGGTGGCCGCCTCTGCCCCACCCTGGTGAATGCGAAGTCAGGCGTGGCTGGGGGCGGGGACTTCGAGCTTCCAACAAGCACCTCTAGTACTCTGCTGGGGGGCCAGGGTGGGGGGCACTGCTTTGATCCCAGGAACTGGAGAGGGATCATGGTGATGATGGTGGTGGGGTCTGCAGGGCACAGCCTGGAGGAGACCCACATTTCTCTCTTGGCTCTGGCTTAGCCCTGGGTGAGGCTGGACAGACACAGAGGCCTCGTACTCGACTTCCACTCCCCGACTCCCCTAGATGGGCTAGAGGGTTCTGGTTAGCTGGGGGCCAGGCTGAGTGGGCCTGGGGGGCACAGAGATGGGAAGTGATTCCAGCTGAGAGGTGGGGGCTTCCCATCTGCTCCAGTGGCCCCTGGTGGGGGATGGGCTGGGGCTGAGACTCTTCCAGTTCAGTGGCTGGGGGGCGGGTGACTTGGGCTCCTTATGCCCTTTGTCTTCGGTGCCGGAGAGGCCAGGTAGTGCCCACCATGGGGAGGGGCCGGCCTGTGAGTGTCACATGTGCATGCACACGGACTCCAGCCTTGGCAGATGGCTGCCGGGGGAGGGGACGCAGACCCAGCCCTGGCCCCTTCCTCCAGTCATGGCCAAGGGCGGATGGGAAGCCAGCAGAGGCCCCAGGAGACCGCTGAGTGGACTGAGTCAACCCTCGGCCGGGCGCCTCCGGAAAACAGTCCTGCCCATCACATAGAGGGTCCCCAGCGTTGGCGCAGCACGCACCCAGGGCAGCCTCGCCGGGACCCTGGGAGTCAAGAGGTCGGAGGGTGGTGGGGGGAAACTGAGGCTCTGAGACATTTGAGGGTTTAGTCCAAGGTTACTCTCGATCAGGGAAGGACAGAGGGGAACTGGAGTCTAGGGCAGTCTGACCCTGACCTCTGAAACGTCGGTTCAGCCTGGGAATTCCCCCAGCTCCTCTCCTGCCCTCACGTCCACTGCAAGGGCATGATGGGGGCCGATGTGTCTGGAAGAAACCTCTCCCCTTCCCCGCAACATCTGCCTGGGGCTGTCTAGCAAGTCCCGGCCTGCCTGGGCCAGTTCTCCTCTGGGCCACTCCCACCTTCATCCAGAGCCCCCATTCCCCACCCCAACTTCCAGGCAGACTGACTCTGAGCTGGGATGTCCCCTCCCCACAAGGCTGTAGGGGCCTCCATTGTCCTCCCTATTCTGAAGTCCCTCCAACCCTGTGCTGGTGCTCATCTCCCTGCCAGCCGCGCCCTCCCCCAGCACCCCCCAGGACACCTGGTGATCACCCTGCTTGGTTCTAGGGACACTGGAGCCACCAGGCCTGGCAGATCCTGCCAGTGGGTATGCCCCTTTGGAAGGAAAAGGACCTCGATGGCTTTGGAGGCTGTCTCTGGCTTCTGCACTTGCTTTCTTGCAGAGTGGGCGAGCAGAGAGGGGTGGGTGGCTGGGGAGGAGGGCATGGGCTGGAGTCTGGTGTGTGCGGTGCCCTGCTGGGCCTGTTCTTACCCAGCTGTTCTGGAGCTGGGGACCATGGCTGGGCGGGCGCGGCAGGAGATGGAGCTGGGGGGGAACTGGGCCCTTCCCACCATCCGCTGGTCAGGGTGGTTCCCAGGGGCCACCCCACCCTTGTCCAGTTCTGTTCCTGGGTCCGTTGCCGGGGACAGGGAGGAAGTCTGTGTCAGGAGACCAGCCCCTGCTTCTAGCCTTGACCTTGGGCAAGTCACATTCCTCTTTAGGCGCAAACCCCCCCATACCTACCCCTCCCCTCCTCACCTGGGGCTAAGGGTGGGAATGTCTGTCGAGTGAGTGAATACATGAATGAGATGGACTCATTCGCGGAGTGCCAGGTATTGGGATATGTGAAGGGCAGGTGCCACTGTGCCACGTAAGGTGAGTGGTTAGGGTGTGGCAGCTTTGGTTGTCCTCTCGGCAGGCCCCCTCCTATGGATGGGGAAACCCAGGCCTAGTTTTCTCATTCTGGGTTTTCTGCCCCACTGCCCAATTCACTCTGGTGGAAGGGGTGGGCTCTGTGCCAGGGGCCATGGGAACCGGGGCAGGGGTCTGCTGGTGAGGCCTTCTCTTCAGTAGCCACAGCGGGTTTGGACCTGCCCGGCGTCCCAGAGGTATCCCGGCCCGCTCCCAGACTCCCTTCTTGGAAGGAGGCTCTGGATGCCAGGGCAGGGGAGGTCTGGGGCTGAAAATCAGGGCTGTGTGTACACGACACTGTGAACAGGTGACATTGTGGCTTCAGGGATGCATTGGCAAGGTCTTGGCCCCAGGACGGCCTGCCTCCAGCTGGGGTGGACAGAGACAAGTCTTTGCCCAGCAGGCCCTCGGGTACCTGGACTCAGAGCCCATGTGCAGCTCCAGAGACCGAGGTTGGGGAGGGTGAACCACGGAGCACTTGGTGGAGGAGGGGGCAGAAGGGGATGGTGGCTGGAGGAGAACAGGGGGTGTGGATGGTGGTGAGGGAGAAGCTGGCACCTGGGAGCATCAGGTTCCCAGGAGGCAGGGGATCCTGAGGAAGGGGGGTGCCAAAGGAGAGGGCCTGGGGCAGGAGGCTCTGGACTGAGAGGGCAGGTGGCACTCTTCTATGTAGAGCATTCTGTGGCTCCCCAGTGCCCTCTTGGTTCTGTCCCAGCCTCTCTGAGGTGCCTCTTTCTTTCCTGCCTCCTCCTCTACTCCATGACTGGCAGGGTCACTGCAGGTCAGCCGGGCCATGCCTCTGGGCCTCTGTGGCATTGGGCTTTGGGGTCTGGAGGCAAACCTAGCTGTGCTCCTTGCCGGCTCTGTGATGGTGGCAGGTTTCCCCATATGGAAAATGGGGAAAATGGCATCCATTCACGGGGTCGTCACGGTGATGGACGGTGTGCAGCAGGCTTGCTAACTGGGCGCCGGCCTGCAGGGCTTCTGCCACCCCAAGGCTCTTCACCCCATGTCCATGAAGCTGACTCGGATCTGTGCCCGACCCCCTGCAGGAGCAGCCGCCCCAACACTGTTCCTCCCACCTCACCCTGGTCGGGACACCCTCAAGGTCCAGTTCGATCTAGCAGGGCCTGGCGTTGGAATGCATGAATGCGTGGGTTGGAGAACCGAGGCAGGAGGGCAGGCCAAGGTCCACCGCCTGCCTTACCCACTGCTGCTCTCAGAGTTGGCGGGTGCCGTTCCCAGTGGACCTGGTGCCTGGACCCGGGCAGGGGAGGCGTGGGCCCTGGGCATGTCCCCAGCCCCCCAGGACTTAGGAGCTCCTCACGGGATGTGCCTGCAGCCAGGCGTGGCTTGGGAGGCGCGGTGTTTCCTCCCTCTGGGGACCGGGCCTCACCCCTGCTCTCCCCATAAGCCAAGGTTCCTGAGTCCCGGCCCCAGCGGTGGGGCCAGGGGTTCCTGTCATTTCCTATGTGTGCTGCATTTGTGCACAGGTGTCTGTACATCCGGGGGTGCTGTGGGGGCCTATTCACGTCCTGTGTGACACTGGTCCATCCCTTTGCTGGCCCCAGATAGCTCTGGCTGGGTTCGCCGAGAACGGCAGTGCTGCCTGGCAAGGCCTGGGCTGCCTGTGCCCCAGCCTTGCTGGGCATGCATCCCTGTCTCGCTCCCTGGTGCCAGCCCCTCCCAGGGATTTGGGTGGCAGGGCCCAGTGCTCTGGTCCCCTCCCTCCCAGTCTGGGTGGGTGGGCAGGTATGGGGGCTGCGGAGTAG